TATATGTCAATCATAAAGTTGATGATTATATATTTAATATGTGTTCATAGTTAAAATAAACTTTATCAAAAGTACATTTGTAAAAAAAGTGAGAATTATACAATACTAGTCAACATGTGGAGAGCAAAGAGTTTTACCAAAGGCAGTAAGATAAAGTTACTTATTAGACAAATCAAATGTAAGTTGACCAGATGAATAAAGAAGTCAATATAAAAAATACCAAAAGAGAAAGATCATAAGATGAAACCATCAATGTATGATCGATGATGCTCATTAGACGACTCAAGCTATGCTGACCGTAAAACCTAAAGTTCAGATGACTATATTTAAATTCAACATTACGTCAATAAAAACAAAACAGAAAATTTAAAAAGATTTTTAGCGACAAGTGCACTTTACTGTTTATTAAGTTAGATCCATTAATTACCTGTTTATATTTTATATATGATTTTCTGGGATGTTTTTAAAATATTAACTTAATTATGAAATATTTAATAACAAACTCATTTAATTTGTTACTTCAATATTCACCAATTAAATCTCACATACCCTTAAATATTCCATCTGAACAAACTCATAAATAAATTTTACATTATAGAGTATAAAGTAATATTTTATACATAAACCATAAATCCTAAATCCTAAACTCTAAAATAAATTTATAGAGTTTCATAAAATGTATGAATTTTTTAATTATCTCTCTGAAAATATCTTTGTATATTTTCTTTTTATAAAATCACATATAAATTTATATGTTTTCCTTTATTTTAGACCTATATCATTAATTTGAAAATATTAATAAAACAAATATTACTTATGTAAATATTTTTTTATGTGAATTTTATTATTTACGTATAAAGTTATTTATGTGATGTTAAAATTTCTATTGTATATTTGTGGTATCATACGAAGTCCTTCTAATAAATTTACTCTTTAATTTTGTATTTTCAACTTTACATAAAACTATATATTAAGTTTCATAAGCTCAATATGTGAAAATATACAATTTTCTTAAGTAAATTTACTATATAATTTTTTCATGAAATTCTGTTGTGAATTTTTTTTCTTAATTTCTCAAAATATTTATTTTAGTAAAATTTGGAGAGAATTTTTATATGAAATATTTATTACAGTAAAATTCTCAAAATATTTTTTTTTTGTTATAATATATTGTAACGCGTGGATAAAAGTAATATAAATAAAAATAACACAAAAATATGAAAAAGACAGGAATGTTCTAGAAATGCGGAAGAAATCCAGAAGTTTTTAGAGTGATATCGAACCGGAAAGAATGAAGGGAATGAGAACAGAATATTCTGGAACGTCCCATACTATTCTTTCACTTCGTATAAATATTATTGGATCAGTTCCTCAGACATCATCATCAAACAGAAAGAGAGTTACCTGAGTACGATCACGCTACAGACTGTGTGAAGATTTAAATCTCTGCCAAGTACTATAATCATAAGAATGTCGCTAATTCCAAGTTTTTTCGGTGGACAAAGGAGCAACGTCTTTGATCCATTCTCTCTGGATGTGTGGGATCCCTTCAAGGATTTTCCTTTCCCTGAATCTGGTCGAGAAAATTCTGCATTTGTGAGCACACGTGTGGACTGGAAGGAGACGCCAGAGGCACACGTGTTCAAGGCTGAGATTCCAGGACTGAAGAAGGAGGAAGTGAAGGTTGAGATCGAAGATGATAAGGTTCTTCAGATAAGCGGTGAGAGAAACGTTGAGAAGGAAGATAAGAACGATACGTGGCATCGTGTGGAGCGTAGCAGTGGGAAGTTCTTGAGGAGGTTCAGATTGCCTGAGAATGCAAAAATGGATGAAGTGAAGGCTTCTATGGAGAATGGTGTTCTTACTGTCACTGTTCCGAAGGAAGATGTTAAGAAGTCTGACGTCAAGGCCATTGAAATTTCTGGTTAAG